ACCTCTGGATAGACGTTATATGGACTATCGGAGCATCCTTGCTTTTTGGGATCCTGAGTTGCTGAAGTTCTTGTACAGAGATAGGTGTTAATGTGAAACTGATTTTGCTACTTAAACATCAGAATTCTATTCATGAAGGTAAAAAACCTGTGTGCAGTGGCCCCTCCAGCCCCACCAAATCCTTACCTAATCCTCCTCTGATCCAGCGATGTTCTCGACAATCTCTGCTGTCAGGGTACCCTTCCTCCTCAATGGCTGAGACCACAACGGGAGCCCATTGGCTCCCACTGCTGTCAATCACAGCCAGTGAACCAATGAGGAGAGAGTGGAGGGGGCATGCAGTGGCTCTATGTGTCTCATGGATGCATAGAGCAGCAGCTTGGGGACAAGCACCTAGCTTTTTCTGGGGGCGTGGCTCATCTAAGGGGGGCAGAGCCAGGAGCGCCAGCGGGGACCCGAAAAGAATAGGATCATGGCTGCTCTGTGCAAAATCACTGTACAGAGCAGGTAAGTATAGACAATGTTTGTTATTTGAAAACAAAATGAAGCTTTAGTGTTACTTTAAAGCGGAACTTCACCCGCTCAGTTAACGCTGACTATTTTTAATCCTTATGCTGCTAGCATTCGTAAATAGATAGAAAAGTATGTCATATTTACTCTTTTAAAACTTTTTTCTTTTTTTTTTACATTTCTTAAGTTACTTCCTGGTTTCCATGCCTAGACAAATGAGGTCATATATCCCTGGAGTGTTCAAGAGGGGAGAGGGGCTTTCCCAGCTAAGCACACCCTCCTGCCTGCATTTCTGAGCTAAGGGCAGATGGATTCCAGGAATTAAATGCTACATGAATATTCTGCCCTTACACAAGATGGGCATGGTTAGAAATGCTAGGGGGTGTTTTTCACAAAGGTTTCTCAGCATAATAAAGCACAAAGACAGGGATAGATGGGCGAGTTTACTTTGAATATTAAAAATGAATTAAATAGCATTTTTGGTTTGTGGTGCTCAAATGCAGTGAAGTTTCGCTTTAACCTCTTTCCGTCCCCCCAATAGCAGAAATACTGCTACAGGGTGGCATGGGTGCGCAAAATCACGTATATATACGTAATTTTGTATTTCCGGGTAGGGGGCATGGGCAAGCCCTACCCGTGCCGCCATTCACTGTCACGGCTGTCAGTCACCGGGTCTGTGATTTGTTTTTTTTTTTTGTTTGTTTTTTTTAGCAGAATTCAATTTGGCCTCAATTTATGATGAAATTAAAACATTTTTAATTTTTTTTTACTGGACATGTTTTCTTTCTCAATTGTCGGTCTTTTTTTTTTTTTTATAGTGTAAAAAATAAAAACCGCACAGGTGATCAAATAGCACCGAAAAAAAAGCTCAATTTGGGGGGGGGGGGGGGGGGGAAGGATGTAAATTTCATTTGGGTGCAGCATTGCATGACCGCGCAATCGTCAGTTTTTTAGTAATGCAGTGCCGTGATGCAAACAATGGCCTGGTCAGGAAGGGGGGGGGTAAATCCTCAGGAGGGCAAGTGGTTAAAAAACAAACAAAAAAAAAATCGGTGCGCTCGATGGACCACTCGGTCTTTTTTTTCTGCTGTCACTTTTCTATATTTCTATGTTTAAATATGGTAATGGGAAGATCTGTTTGTTAATATCACAAGTAGCAACAAATCATATGAATCTTCGTTCAGAGCAGTTTAGGGCATTCAGGAGGCAAATTCAATATTATTGCATGTTAATAGCTTTTATTATTATTATTATTATTATTATACAGTATTTATAAAGCGCCAATAGTTCGCTCAGCGCTGTACATTACAAAGGGAGACAGAACATGTGACAGAACAATACCAATACAATGCAAAACATGAGGGGATCAAGGGCCCTGCTCTTTCGAGCTTACAATCTAGGAGTTTAGGGCATTAGCGTATTTATTGTTTTTCCTCTTACAGTATATGCCACAGTACTGGTCTCTTGACACAACCGGTAAACAAATGATTTAAAGTTCATCTTTCCCCCCCAAAGTACGGCTTCCCTATGTGCCCATATACCAACCGTGTACCTTTTGATGCAGAAAAGAAAAAGCTGTCCCTATGTTCTGGAGCAGGCATCACCTGAGTCCCTGCTTTGTTCCATAGAAACGTACCCATGGAGGAAGGAGGGGGGGTTGGAGAGAGTAAGAGAGACAAGAGAGAGAGGAGAGAAAGAGAACCCCTGATCACGTTCCCTTGGATTTAGATGTTCCACATTACAATTTCTTCTGCGATAACCAGCTTTAGGACCCTTGCATGCAGGGGTTTAGCTTATGTGTGCTGATTAGCAGTTTTGGGTCTAATTCAGACACGCTGAGACCTGTCCTCTGTGCTGAGTCTGTATAGAGAAGCAGTGGCTGCAATAATTTTGACATGTGAGTGTGTCCGCGCGACTGCATACACTTCTATGGGCTACCTGTGTGCAGATCCGAGTTGGCCATGTCAAATGGTGGGTGTGGCCAAATTGTACTAACTAACTATGTCAGGATGACTTTACAGTGAGACTCCATGTACGTCTGCCCATTCCCGGAACACGTGAAAAACTGGTTTCATGCTTGCAATGCCATTAACAGCATCCCAAAATGTGGAGGAAAATGCACATTTTGCCACGCTCAAAATTGCATGGTAAAGTCAGTGGGCTACCCTATGCGTGCCATGGGAAAAACACACCAAAAACACACCAAAAAAGTGCACTCCCACCACGCTAGGTGTGAATAGGGCTTGAAAGTGAATTTGGTGTATTTACAGCCTCCCCCTTCCCTGAGCTGAAGCTGGATTACAAGAACAATGACAGCTGAGCTTCTCCACCTGCTTCCTCCCATGTACTTGTATAAAGCTGGCCATACACTACTGTGTAATAGGAGGACCCACCTGAACAATCCATTCCATTTGTATGATATTGAACTACACTATATACAGGTGCATCTCTATAAATTAGAATAAAAAAAAAAAAAGTTAATTTATTTCAGTAATTCAATTCTAAAAGTGAAACTTGTATATTATATAGATTCGTTGCACACAGACTGATATATTTCAGGCATTTTTTTTTCTTTTAAGTTTGATGATTATGGCTTACAGCTAGTGAAAACCCAAAATTCAGTATCTCAGAAAATTAGAATACTACCTAACACCAATATATATATATATATATATATATATATATATATATATATATATATAAGGATTTTTAATACAGGAATGTTGGCTTATTGAAAATATGTACAGTATAGTATGCACTCAATACTTGGTTGGGGCTCCTTTTGCATGAATTACTGAACCAATGCAGTGTGGTATGGAGGCAATCAGCCTGTGGCACTGCTGAGGTGTTATGGAAGCCCAGGTTGCTTTTGATAGTGGCCTTCAGCTTGTCTGCATTGCTGGGTCCGGTGTCTCATCTTCCTCTTAACAATACCCCAGATATTCTCTATGGGGTTTAGGTCAGGCGAATTTGCTGGCCAATCAAGCACAGTGATACCATGATCATTAAACCAGATATTGGAACCTTTGGCAGTGTGGGCAGGTGCCAAGTCCTGCTGGAAAATGAAATCAGCATCTCTATAAAGCTGGTCAGCAGAGGGAAGCATGGAGTGCTCTAGAATTTCCTGGGTAGACGGCTGCGCTGACTTTGGACTTAATAAAACACAGTGGACCAACACCAGCAGATGACGTCTCCCCAAATCATCACTGACTGTGGAAACGTCACACTGGACCTCATGCAACTTGAATTCTGTGCCTCTCCACTCTTCCTCTAGATACTGGGACCTTGATTTCCAAATGAAATGCAAAATTTACTTTCATCCAAAAAGCGTACTTTGGGCCACTGGACAACAGTCCTGTCCTTTTTTTCTCCTTAGCCCAGGTAAGACGTTTCTGAGGTTGTCTCTGGTTCAGGAGTGGCTTGACACAACGAATGCAACAGTTGTAGCTCATGCCCTGGATATGTGTGCATGTGGTGGCTCTTGAAACACTAACACCAGCCGTAGTCCACTCCTTGTGAATCTACCCCAAATTCTTGAATGGCCTTTGCTTCATAATCCTCCCAAGGTTGTGGTTATCACTGTTGCTTGTGCACCTTTTTCTACCACACTTTTTCTTTACACTCAACTCTCCAATAATATGCTTGGGTACAGCATTCTGTGAACAGCCAGCTTCTTTAGCAATGACCTTTTGTGACTTACCCTCCTTGTGGAGGGTGTAAGTGACTGTCTTCTGGACAACTGTCAAGTCAGCGGTCTTCCCCATGATTGTGTAACCACTGAACCAGACTGAGAGCCCATTTAAAGGCACGAGAAACCTTTTATAGGCGTTTTGAGTAATTAGCTGATTTAGAGTCATGAGTCTACAATATTGAACTTTTTCAAAAATTCAAATTTTAGCTGTAAGCCATAATCATTAAAAAATTAAAAGAATGAAATGCTTGAAATATATCACTCTGTGTGTAATGAATCTATATAATATAAGAGTTTTACTTTTTTAAATTGAATTACTGAAACATATTAACTTTTTGATGATTTTCTAATTTATTGAGATGCACCTGTAGTTGTTGGTAGATCTAAAGGAGATTGTGCAATCAGATTGTGCAGTGTATGGCCACCTTAAAGAAAAAAGTAGAACAGTGGGTAGAAATAAAAAAGAGGTGCTGCAGAAATTAGGGAGGTGTGTTCCAGGGAGGTAAAACACACCCTACACACCTGTGAATCAGTAAGACCGTGAATGATGGGATATGAAGTTTCTTGGATGGTCACATGATGCCACAGGAAGTCAGGGGCTTAGGTGCAATTTATTTTTTTAGTTTTGAAAAGAGAGGTGCAGACTCAAGGTTGATATTGACAAAGTAAGTGAGAGATACACACATTGGGATTGGTTGGGTAGAAAAGACACTAGAAAAGGCTTTTATTTATTATGAAAAGTAAAATTCTGCCTGAAATGGTGAACTTCGCCTTTAACAAGTTTTTCTTTCTATTACAGGCTCTTTTACCACTTGCCAATGTGGCATTAATAGATTATACACTGGAATTTCTTACTGCCACTGGGGTTAAGGAAACATTTGTCTTTTGCTGCTGGATGGCAAATGAAATAAAAGAACACCTAAGGTAAGCCTGAAAATTCTGTTGGAGGGTTAAAGGGTAGAATTGACATTGTCTAGACCAGCTTTTCTCACACCCTTTTACTCCAGAGGAAACACTAGAAATAAATGTCCGGTCTCGGGTAACCCCTAATACTTATATTCCACCAGGGGTCATTGGGGACATGCTCCTATGTTGGTGGGAGAATACCCCACCTTACAGAGATGGTCAGAATGCCACCCTTGCAGTCATGCTGCTGGCTCTGCCAAATGGCATGACTGCAAATGTGGCATTCTGACCATCCTTGCAGTCATGCTACTAGCTCTGCCAAATATCATGACTGCAAATGTGGCATTCTGACCATTCTCGCAGTCATGCTGCTGGCTCTGCCAAGTGACATTAGACCTGGAACTGTGCAGGCACTCAGATGGGAGGTCAGTTATCCACAGCTGAAGGAACCCCTGGCAACCTCTGGAGGAACCTTAGTTAAAAATGGCTGGTCTAGGCTCTGGAGAACCTCTTCTAAAGGTTTTCTAGAGAGATTTGTTCTTTATATTGCTGGATATAGCAGATGGCAGGATGACCAAGGTTTTGTTCACACCATATGTGTAGAAAAAAAAACTGAGTGAAACTGATGTGCAGATTTCACTGGCAGAGACCTCAGTTTACACCAGTTTTCATGCACGCTTTAATGAGTTTTATACATTTTGGAGATTCCTGCACAGAAACGTTTTGCCGGGATACTATTGTGGCAGTGTGAACAGGGCACATAGAAGAGAATTGATTTAGTTGTGCCCTTGAAGAAAGCATGCAACAAAACTGGCGAATCTGCACGATGGTGTGAACAAGCCCTAATGCAGGCCATAGACGTGGGGAAAATCGGCATTTTTTTTTTTTTAATACAAAATCGTAAATCAGTCGTTCAGACGGCCGACGTTGCCACTAATTAAAAAAAAAAGTCGGCGGGTTTTAGTCCCGTCTACGGCCGTCAATTAATATAATAGCGGTGTCCCTGCATAGAGACCTGCTATTATATTTGACAGAAGAAATAGATTATGCAGAAGAAGAAGAAAAAGAAGAAGAAGAAGAGAAACAACATTGTATCTATTTGTACTTGAATAGAAACATCTGTATCCGAAATGCATACAAATAGATACAATGTTGCAACTTTTTTTTCTTCTCCATCTTCTGCAAAATCTATTTCATCTTCTCTTTTCTTCTATTCTTCTTCTTGATATTCTATTTCTTCTTCTCCTGCAAAATCTATTTCTTCTATTACTACTTTTTCTTCATAGTCAATTTATTGTCAAATCGGCCAGAAGAACTGCTGATTTGACCATAATTTACCGTGAAAATCGGCCGATCTAACAAATCGTCCCAGGATTTTCCAGCTTGGCCGATTTTCAAAATCTCATAAAATTAAGAAAAACGGCCGACATTTTTCCCCACTAACGGTACGAATATCGGACGTTTTTTTTTTTTATCAGCCGATAATTCGGCAAGAAAATTGGATATCTATGGCCTGCATAAGACCAGGAATGGATATGTAAATATATTTTCAGGTAGCAAAATTGTTGCTTGACATTATTTAGCAGTCTTTCATTGGAAATACTATTATATTTCTTGTGCATATGTGCTCTCTCCCCCACAAATTATGTAAAAATTTTGAGAGGCCTAAAGTGTTCATAAACATTTTCCATTACCACTGATATTTGCAGCGTTCCAACAAAACTTTCTGTATTGTATAACTATCTCGTATGACAGAAGCGCCATCTAATGGTCAAATCCCTTTTTTCCCCTGACTGATGTAATTAAAACAAATACCATATTACAGCCACTAGATGATGATACGAGATATATAAATAAAAATGTGTCATTTTGTTTCTTATCAAAATTTTGGACAAACTTTTAGTTATTCAGAGATGTATCTGACTTTCCGAATCACAATAGTAACAAATTTCAACATCTCTAAAATGAATTCAGGAAATGAGTAAGGTATAAAAGGGAAATAAGATTCCTACTTGCAGCATAGAATATAAAAGAATAGAATAAAACAGAATAGAAAATAAGGGAATATAAAAGAAAAGACTAGAAAAGAATACAATACAACTGAATAGAACATAAAATTAAAGAATAGGATAGAAATTGAAAGACTAGACTAGAAAAGAATAGAAGAGAAGAAAATAGAATAAAATAGAACAAATATAGCTTTTCTCCAAAATATGAATTCCAAATTTCTGTGAATAACAAATAGACTAAACAAATTCCGAAAAGGAATCACTGTAACATGACAAAATTAAATTTATTAACTTGACGAATGAATCTGAAAGCAAACATTTTTTCCATTGTGCACATCTCTAGATAGAATTATATAATATAGAATACTGCAAGTTTCGTAGGAGCTGTGTGAATGTGTGTCACATTTGTTCGGCATATATATATATATATATATATATATATATATATATATATTATATATATATATATATATTCTATTAAGTTCATGGAGCTTGGCTAAGTGAATTCATGTATAATTTACCTTCTCCTCGCCCCCTAAATTCACATTCTGGGGGTCTGTTTAGAAATGTTTTCACACGATTCACACAGCTTTCACCCAGGATTCACACATTTGTTGGGAAAAAGCTATAAATCCTGGTTGAAAGTTGGGTGAGTATTGTGGGAAACAATTTATAGTTAGACAGCTTGGATTCACACACTTGAAAATTCTTATTTTTAGAGCTTTTTATAGCAAATCGATCTGTAAGCACATATTTGTGCATACTGAAGTATGTTGATTTCTACATGATTAATTGCAAACTAATAAGATGTTATTTAAGGTAGAATTCCAGGCTAGATATAACTAAGCTTACACCTACTCTCACCATCCCTTTCCCTTCTAACGCCTATTCTAACTACTCTGTATAAGGATGATGCTTATACTTGCCTATTCTCAGGGAGCTCCAGTCTGGTCAAGTGGTCAGCTCCCAGTGGCTGGTTTCAGGGGAGAGGAGAGCTTGCCGACAGTGGCTGGAATGCCTGGGTGGTGACTTCACCCATAGGTTCACTATGTGGCATGCATTGTCGCTGTTCCTCCCTTCCCTGAAGTCAGCCACTGGGACCAATCCTGTGATCGAACCGTAGCCCCACGAGAATAATTAAATACAGTATATGCATCTTCCTCCTACAGGGTAGTTCACCCCTTCACACTGGCGTAAACACAAATATGCGGCCTCACAGAACTGGGCTTTTTGCCTTGGGGCTGCATATTTGTGTACCTCTCTTTGTGCTGGGAGTGTGCTGCACAGCGCGCTGCCAGCACAAAGACTGGGGTGTCACTGAGGGACCCGGGTCCCGTTCTAACGATCAGGACCCGGGACTCCCCATTTCGTGTCACATGATTGCTGTGATAGCCTCTGATTGGCTATCACAGTGATCAGTTCTCTCTGAATGGAGCAGAGAGATACATTGTATCTCTCTCCCTGCATAGAGAAAAAAACTGAACTATTTGTTAAAAAAAAAAAAAAAAAAGTAAAAATACATTTTAAAAAATACCTAGTTTAAGCTTTGATCTAGTTCCGTGCCAGGGTTAGTGTTTGGGTCAAGGTCAGGATTTTTATTTTATTTTCTTAAATTGGTGTTGGTGTCAGTGTGTTTTTAGGTAAAAAACTACAAAAGAAACAAAATGCGCACTATTGTTTCTGGGCTGTACTACGGTAAAAAACCACAAATAACATACACATATATGGTATTGCTGCAGTCGCCAAGAGCTGGAAATTTTATTTTGGGTTGTTCTTTGGTGGTAGGTTATGGTAGTAACAAGAAACACACAGCTAAATTTAAAAATGTATATATATTTTTTTTTTACTATTTTGGGCCAGTTTTGCTTTGATAATTAAAAAAAAAAAAGTCAGGAGATATCCAATACCATTTACCACTAAATGAAAGCCCAATGTGTCCTGAAAAAAAATGCAGTATAATTCACCTGGATGTACAAAGTAGTTGTGATGATATCTACGGTTTTACTAACATGTGAAAGTTGCAAGATTGTGCTTAGGCATTAAGATTTGTTTTACCCTTAGGCATGAAGGGGTTAAATGGGCATTAGAAGGGGTGTGGGAGCCATTTTAAGCTTCGTTACTAGCCTGGACTTCCACTTTAATATTTAATTCATAATGATAACATTTTGTATGTAATAAAAAGCACACACAATGTATATTGGCATATCTTTATTGACTATATGGGTTAACGAACAAGGTTACCGTATGTAAATCCCTTTATTTAGTAATGCATCTAACGTTACCATTAGTAATAGCCAAATCAAAATACTTTGTAGCTGCAGGTTATACATGCCTCTAGATTATGAGAAATTTTGGATAATTTCTGTTTACTTTTTGTTATCTTGCTTGAATGCTGTGCCTAAAGTGTGTGTAAACTCTCACCTCATAAAACAATCCATTCAGTTTAAAATAGAAATGAAAGGCAAAACATTTGTGTATAGATATAAAAAAAAAAACCCATTATAAACAGTTTCTTTTTCCTTTTTGTGTTATGTGATCACATTCTCTCTGTTCTCAGCTGCTTAAGAGCTGGGGAGGAGAAACAGCAGGAAACTGAACTTCCCAATGAAAGGCTGTGCAGGAGGGGTGTGTCAGAACAATTCTGATCATTGGAAGAGAACAGATTGATTTCCCAGCACAGCTAGAGCACTGACCACTATCTGTTCTGCTTAGTGTTGTCAGTTTTTAATAGGAAAGCATAGGGACTGACAGGAACACCAGGGATTACACACAAAGGAAGCAAGTACATGGTACAGCAGGCACATATCATGAATATTAAATATTGGGTTTACATATTCTTTAAGATCATGCCACAACATTTTACTGAACATTAATGAAAGTGGTAGCAAACTCTCAAATTTTATTTTTACCTACAGGAGAGCTTATAATAAATTAAACAAATGTGTTGCACTGTTAAAAGTAATACCATTCAAGTGCATTGATTGTGGTGTGAAAACTGCAAGAGGACCA